CCCCCCCGCTCCGTGGGCTCTGATCCAACTCAAGTTCCCAGTGACTTTCCGGAGGCCGGGAACAGGGAAAACTTTTCCAATACACTCAGATCCCGCCTCCCTGGAGGATCCATGTCTTCCACAGCTTTACCAGGACCTCGGAGTCCAGGCCCCCATCCCCCTCCTCCCTCGGACCCTGGACCTGGAGCCAAGGCAGACAAAGACCCCAGGCCGAGCCCAGTGACGTTGCGGCGTACAGGACCCCTGTAGGTCAAAATCCCAGCCCAGCCCTCCCCCATGTGGCCAGACAAAGAGACGGAGGAGTCGGGTAAGAAAGGTCCCCCGTAATTTCCCGCTCCAGGCCCCAAGCCTCCGAAGAAACAAGACTGAAGATCCGGAAAGACCCGTAGCCCTCCTTCTGCCACCCTGGAGGCCTTCGTTTCTCCCTAAGGAGAACCAGACGTCCACAAATTACACACGCAAACCAATTTGGTCAGAAACACACATGGAGTCCTTCTCCAAACTGACACGGCCGCAGACACCTACCCCCAACACCACACCCCGGCCAGGGTCCCCATCCCTCACCTCCGCCCGCGCGCACGCTCCCAAACTCAGACACATCACCGAGCCCCCTAACTCCGGCTAACGTGCCAGCTCCACGCTCAGGCTCGGTCATGAGCGCACACTCGGGCCCCCAGGCAAAAAGAGGGTGGAAAATAGTTCAGAGACGAACTCGGTCACACGCTTCACCTCCTAACGCGTAACTTCCTACCCCAACTCACACACCCCAAAGCAGGATCCCCGACTCCCGCCGGCGCCTTCCTACCTCCCGGCCTGGGGCTGGGGAGCCGCGGGCGGGCGGGGCGCTGCGAGGGAGAAAGTTGCCGGGAGCTTTGTTTGGGAAAAGTGGGAGGGACCGGAGGGGGGGCGGGCCCGGGAGGCCGACGGCGGAAAGGGGGATCCGACGGTGACAGTTTGGGGGAGGATTTTTGCTTTGGGAGAGATGAAGTCTATCCGGGGGCTGGTAGGAACTCAGGATTAGGATGCTTGGGTCTCTGGGAGAGGAGGGGTATTAGGCCTGAGGGTGGAGGTTGATGGGAGCCAGGAGACCTGGGTCAGGAGGAGGGGGCTGGGGGCCGGACTCCTGGGTCTGAGGTGGGTGGGGGCTGGGGGCCTGGACTCCTAGCTACTCTCTAGTGTTTGTGTGGAAGTGATACGAACACAGAATCTTTCCTGTTCAGCCCAAGCATATTTTTGAGGATCGGGGTGTGAGGGTAGGTTTTGCTTAATTTCTGTGACGACACGGTTTCTTGTGACCTCACCAGAGTTAAGAGTCGTGGCCGAGACCAGCAGGAGTTTATTAGAGGTCCACAGAGCTAGACTCCGGCATCCGCATGCACTAGTGCACTGGAGGAGGCTGCTGTCCCAAGACCGGGAGAGAACCTCGGTGCCTGGATTCCTGGTTTCTTAAAGATGAAGATGATTCCTGGGAGTTCAAACTCGCGAGAGTAGAGGTGGCTGGGGTCTTGAGGGAGAAGAGAGCCTGGATTCCGCGTTCTTTGGAAGATAGGACTGGATTTAGGGTTTCCGGAGAGAACAGACTTTTTGGTAGAACCGGAGCGGGGAAAGGAGAGGGACACAGAGAAAGGCTCAGAGATAGTTATCAAACTATGAGCGACCCATAAGGACTGCTCAGACTTCAGCGTTTCCCATACAGAGCGAGCGAGCGAGCGTAAGAACGGGACTGACGGCTTTGGAAGCAAGGTCTGGGCCACAGAGGCGTGGCCCAGGTGCAGGGGCGTAGCCCAAGTCAAGGGGCGTGGCCATCTGCGATGGGTGTGGACGCCGACGTGAGGGCAAGGATCAGAGAACACAGGCAAGCCTGGGTCTCCAGGGCTGAGGTCCAACGGTAGGGGCGTGGTCTGCTAGGGGCGTGGCCAGGAGAATGAACGCAAGGCTCTGGCCTAGGGGGTGTGGTTACAAAGGATAGAGGCGTGGCTTTGTCTCCAGGGGCGTGGCCATTGAGTATAGGCTCAGGCTCACGGGTGAGGTCAGCAGATGGAGGCGTAATCAGATAATAGGGGCGTGTCTAGGGCTCGCGGAGCTCATCCAACGCTCCAGGTATTCGGCTTGGGCTCGAGACCAGAACTGTTTGGATTTAACAGTCTGTGGACGGCCGGAGTTTGGGAGGCCGGTGACTGGGCCGGTGACTAGCATAAGGCGGGGGGCGCAGAAGGGGAGGGGAGTGGGAGAAGGTTAGGAATGAGAGCTGGGTATGAATGTGGACGATGCTGAGGAATGAGATCGGTGTGTGAGGCAGAACCCAGAAGAGCCTGCCCGGGAGGCGGGAGGGGCTTGGCCGGATGGAGGGGGCGGGAGTAGAAGAAAAGGGGAGTGGGAAGAAATGAAAGTGTTGTGGGGGTAGTTGCCTGGACTGGGGGCAGAGCCTGGAAAAGTGGCAGGAGAGGAATGTCTTGGGTGAAGGCGTAGCCACTGCCAGGGCAGGGACCTGATGGGACGGGGGACTCTGATCCCTATCTTTGCCACAGCTTCCTCGCCCGCCCTGCAATGTGGCATCCGCCGGTACTGCTGCTGCTGCTCCCCTCTGCTCTGGTGCCCCCCTGCCCTGCAGCCCTTATCGGCGATGCTGACGCCCAGGAGAGCTCCGTTTTTTTAGGCCTCCAGAGCCTACTCCAAAGCTTTAGACGACTTTTTCTAAAAGTAAGCCATGGTGGAGGTTGGGGGGAAGAAGAGGCACAGATAAGGGGTTCCCCGAGACAAAGTGGGAGATGAGTCAGAGAAGGCAGAAGGTCACACAGGAAGAGTGGGAGTCAGAGGGACAGAGTAGGCGACAGGGAGACCAAGACACAGGAAGAGAGGGAAGATAACAGGCAAAAAGAGTGGCAGATGGAACAGAGACAAAAGACTGGAGAGAAAGAGAGAGAGGAGAGGGGGGTGGGGAAAGAGAGACAATGAGACAGATGAGGGGCAGGAATAGTAAGGCAATGGGATAGAGACTAGAGACAGGACAGATGGAGAATGGGGGATGGAGGTTAGGTCCTAAGAGTCAAAGGACGGAGAAGGAAGGGGATAGTAGGGACATTGGGCAAGGCCTCAAGGGCCTCCTAGCAGGGCTATAGATGAACTGGAGAGACATGAGGTCCAGCAGCCCAACAATTACTCCTCCAGCCCCAGGATGACTTGCTTCGGGGCACAGACAGCTTATTCTCTGCCCCCACGGACTTCCGGGGTCTCCCGAGGAACTACCACCAAGAAGAGAAACAGGAGCGCCAGCTGGGCGACAACACCCTCTCCAAGCATCTCCAGATTGACAAGGTGCCTATGCAGGAAAGCCCCTTCTGGAGTCTCACTATGATCCCTCATGCTGCAGGATCTGTCAAGAGGGAAGGACGGCAGAGGAGGAAAGTGAGTTTGCTCTCACTCTTTCATCCCATCCTCACAGATTACGGACAACAAAACAGGAGAGGTGCTGATCTCCGAGAAGGTAGTGGAATCAGTCGAGCCAAGAGACAGGAGCTTGGAGGGTGACCAGAAGGTTAGAACATGCCCTGCCCCCAAAGTGTCCAGGCCCCACCATTTTCTGTAGTTTAGGAGGAGGGGAAGTGGAAAGGACCCTCTCCCTCTTTGTGTAACATCCTCTTTCTGGGCCTCAGTTTTATCATCTGTCTAAAGGGACAAACCAACTGTCAGAAATGAGGGTTACAACCTCAGAATACATCCCCAACTGTTTAGTAAACCCCAGATGGTTTTGTGAGTGCCAGAGTGTTTTTGTGAGCACCAAAGTGTTTTGTAAACCAGGAAGTGTTTTAATTCCAAGTGCTTGGTAAGCTGCACCCTCATAAACCTCAAAGTGTGTTTTCATCTCAAAGTAAGTGCTCTGAAAACCTCAGAGTATTTTTTAATCTATCCCGAAGTGCTCAGTAAACCTCTCCCTTGGAAAGTTCAAAATGTGATTTTTAATCCCAAAGTGTTTTATGAACTCCAAATGCCTTGTGTATCTCACCTTTTGTAAACCTCTATGAGTGATTCTAATAACAAAATTTGCAAATATCAAAGCATGTTTAATCCTAAAAAGTTTTAAGAATGCCAAAGTGCTTGGTAAACCCATATTATTATTTTAAAAATTTCAAACCTGGCTGACTGGTTAGCTCAGTTGGTTAGAGCACAGCCTTAGAACACCAGGGTCACAGGTTCAGATCCCCATAATAGCCAGCCTCCAAAAAAAAAAAGTCAAATCTACAGAAAAGTTTTGTTTTTATTTTTTATTTTTTTGGCACACAGGGAAACCGAACCTTTGACCTTAGGGTTACAGAAAAGTTTTTTTTTAAATAGTACAATAAATATGCCTGTATTCTGTTTTCATCTTCACTTGGCATTCTCCCCATGTTCTTGTCTATGTCCAAATTTCCCCTTTGTATTAAGACACCTATTGGATTAGGGCCTAACCTCATTTTAACTAGTTAAATCTGCAATAACCCTATTTCCAAATAAGGTCATATTCTGAGGTATTGGAGGTTAGGACTTCAAAATACGGATTTTGGGAGGACACAATTCAATTCATAACAATCTTCTTAGGGCTTCTCAGGCCTCAAAAAATGCAGACTCTGACTCAGTAAGTCTGGGTGGGGTGGGGACCATTAATTTGCATCACTAACAAAGCAGCCCACACTTTGAATAGCAAGGACCAAATAGACATTCAGTGCATATTCAAATTTCCCCACTTGACTCAAAGTTGTCCTTGAAAGCTGATTTTGGGCCGGCCCGTGGCTCACTCGGAAGAGTGTAGTGCTGATAAAACCAAGGCTATGGGTTCAGATCCTATACAGGGATGGCCAGTTGGCTTACTGGCTGAGCATGGTGCTGACAACACCAAGCCAAGGGTTGAGATCCCCTTACCAGTCATCTTTAAAAAAAAAAAAAAAAAAAAAAGAAAGCTGATTTTATTTTTGATGCAGGATTCAATCAAGAATCACACATTGCATTTATGGTCATGATTCTTTAGTAAACCCAAAAGCTTTTAGGCCCAAAGTGCTTTGTACATTTCAGACTACTTTCAAAACCTCAGAGAGTGTTTAATCCTAAAGTGCTTTGTAATCCCAACAGGCATTATAAACCTTTAAGTGCTCTGTTATACCTCCCTTTGGAAACTCCCAACATGTATTTTCAATCCAAAATATTCTATAAACCTCAGAGTATTTTTAATCCTAAAGTGTTTGTAAACCCAAGTGTTTTGTAAATCTCAAAGAGGGATTTTTAACTCCCAAATCATCCTGTTGGCTGCAAAGTGGGTTGAATACGCCAATGTGGACTGAGCATCCTGGGGTTGCTGTTTGGAGTGTGAGAGAGTCTCCTTGTTTCCCCTCTCCAGGTACCCAAGATGGAGGAGAAGGAGGCCCTGGTGCCCGCCCGGAAGGCCATGGACAGCTTCCACACAGAACCCCATCCCCGGGTAGCCTTCTGGATCATGAAGCTGCCATGGCAGAGGTTCCACCAGGATGCTCAGGAGGGCGGCCACTGGCCCAGTGAAAAGAGACACCGCCTGCAAGCCATCCGTGACGGGCTCCTCAAGGGGACCCATGAGGACATCCTCAAAGATGGGAACCAGGGCTCCTCGCACTCCAAACTGCCTGCCCGCAAGACCCGCTTCCTGTACATCCTCAGGCCCTTCCAGCAGCTGTAAGGTTGAGGACTGGGGAACACCTGTATGTACCCCACACCAGACCCCACCCCAACCACTATATAGAAATAAAGTTATTTCTTATTTCTAGCAACAGATTCTTTTTTTTTTTTTTTAAAAAGATGACCGGTAAGGGGATCTCAACCCTTGGCTTGGTGTTGTCAGCACCACGCTCAGCCAGTGAGCTAACCGGCCATCCCTATATAGGATCCGAACCCGCAGCCTTGGTGTTATCAGTACCGCACTCTAAGCCAGTGAGCAAACCGGCCATCCCTATATAGGATCCGAACCCGCAGCCTTGGTGTTATCAGTACCGCACTCTACCGAGTGAGCCACAGGCCGGCCCCAACAGATTCTTGACAATTCAAAAAAAGCATCAATATGGTCCTTCTGAAGAACATCAGAACTTGATTAGACTTCCCACACCTTCTCTCCCCATTCCACATTCACCTCCCCATTCACCTCCCAGGCATCAGTAACAATGTATTATGTTTAATGTGTATCTTCAGTAAGTGTATGGGTTTGATAGGGCTGCCATAGCAAAATACCACAGACCGTATGGCTTAAACAACAGTTACTTTGGGCCAGCCCGTGGCTCACTCGGGAGAGTGTGGTGCTGATAACACCAAGGCCCCGGGTTCGGATCCCATATACGGATGGCCGGTTGACTCGCTGGCTGAGCGTGGTGCTGACAACACCAAGTCAAGGGTTAAGATCCCCTTACCGGTCATCTTTAAAAAAAAAAACAGGTACTTTCTCACAGTTCTGGAGCTAGAAGTCCAAGATCAAGGTGTCAGCAGGGTTGGCTGCTTCTGAGACCTCTCTCCTTGGCTTGCAGATATCTACCTTCTCACTGTCCTCAGATGGTCTTTTCTCTGTGCACACGTGTACAAATTTCCTCCTCTTATAAGGACAACAGTCAGATTGTGTTAGACCCCACCCCAAAGACCTCATTTTATCTTAATTACCTCTTTAAAGACCTTATCTCCAAATATGATTACATTCTGAGGTACTGGGGTTTATGACTTCAACATATGAATTTTAGAGGGGGGTGCAATTCATCTTGTACTGGTAAATATTCATGCAAATTGTGCTTATTCCTTTTTATGCATGTGTCTTTAACATCAGTAGTATTACATATATTATTCTGATGGAGTTTTTTTTCAGCACCATCTTCAAGATCCATTCATGTAGCATTGACACATCCAAGATCCATTCATGTAGCATTGACACATCCAATATCCATACAATCCATTGCTGCATTAGACTGTGTTCCACCTTCACCACATGTAACCTCTCCACCCTCTCAGTGATGCACACCTGAGTAGCCTCTGATTTCCCTCCATTACAAATAATGTTACAATAAACATCAGCATATATGTCCCCTTATGGGCCAGAGGATGGGTAGGAGCAATTTAGGGGGCTATAACAAGTTATAGACTTGCTTGGTTGCAGGGTATGCATATATTTATTTTCATTAGATAGAATATCCTGATCAGTCTACTCCCTATAGCAGTTCATAACAATTCCATAAAACTTAACCACATCTGGGGTCTGACGTGGCTTTGTATTGTGTCAACTTAGCTAAGCTGAAACTACATTTCTCAGAATTCCTTTCTCTCAATGGGGCTGGTTTTGAATTCGCCACAATTTGGAAGTTTGGGGTAGGGCCAGGTGCTGTTGCAGTTCATGTTGTTATGGATCTGTGGCTCACCTTGTACAAGCTTATCCAAATAAATAGAAAAAAAATTGCCAACACATTATATGATGTAAGCACAGCCTTGTTATCAGAACCTAACAGGGACCTTACATAAAATAAAATAAAATCTGGCAACATATAAAAAGGATAACAGGTTAACTTTGAAAATAAATTAATGTAATTAACCACATCAATAAATTAAATGAAAATAATTTCAATGGAACAGAACAAGCCATTGATTAAAATTCAGCACCCATTCATGATAAAAACTCTCATCAAACCAGTATCAGAAAGGATCTTCCTTAATCTGATAGCATGCCGTCATATTTAATGGTGAAATATTTGAATGTCTTCCCCTAAGATCAGGAATGAGACAAGGATAAAGATATCTGACTACTCAGTATTGTTTTGGAGGCTCTAGCCAATGCAATAAGGCAAGAAAAAGAAATCAATGGTATCAAGATTGGAAAGGAAGAAATTAAATGGTCATTATTTACAGGAGGCATGATTGTGCATGTAGAGAATCAAAAAGAATCTATGGGCTGGCCCGGTGGCGCACTGCTACAGTGCGCCGCTTGGGAGCATGGCGGCGCTCCCGCCAAGGGTTCAGATCCCACATACAGACTGGTTCCCGCTCACTGGCTGAGCGAGGGGCGGGCGCAGCACCGAGGGTTGCGATCCCGTTGCCGGTCCCGGTCCAGTACGGGCGTGACACTGAGGGTTGTGGTCCGTTGCCGGACACAAAAAAAGACAAAAAGGGAAAAAAAAAAAGAATCTATGGATAAATTATTAGAATTAATAACTAAACTCAGCAAGGTTTCCATATACAAGGTCAACATACAAAAATCAATTATAGGGCTGGAGGGTTGGCTCACTCAATTAGAGCATGGTACTGATAACACCAAGGTCAGGGGCCCATAACAGCCAGCCACCCCTCCCCCCCAAAATTAATTATATTCCTAAACATTACAAACAAAAAAAAATTTAATGAAGTTTTAAAAAATGTGATTTATCTAGCATTAAAAAAAATACCTAGGAATAAATATAACAAAAGATTTGCTAGATCTCAAGATAGAAAACTATGAAAGATTTCAGAGAAATTTTAAACGTCTAAATAAGTCATAGCAACAGTATTCAGAATTGCCAAAACTCAGAGACAACCCAACACCCAACAAGAGTAAAATGGTTAAACTGTAGCATATTCTTATAATGGAATATTATGCAACAGTGAAAAGAATGACCTGTTACATGATGAATCTCACAAATATAGTGTTGAGCAAAATAAACCATAATCAAAAGTGATTACCTCTGGAGGGTAATGAATAGGAGGAGGTGTGGCACTTCATGTATGTTACAATTATTCTAAAAAAAATTTTTAAGATTTTATAAATGGAGGGTAATGAATAGGAGGAGGTGTGGCACTTCATGTATGTTACAATTATTCTAAAAAAATTTTTTAAGATTTTATAAAATTGGGCCGGCCCGTGGCTCACTCGGTAGAGTGCGGTGCTGATAACACCAAGGCCGCGGGTTCGGATCCTATATAGGGATGGCCGGTTTGCTCACTGGCTGAGCGTGGTGCTGACAACACCAGGCCAAGGGTTGAGATCCCCTTACCAGTCATCTTTTTAAAAAAAAAAAAAAAGATTTTATAAAATTATGCAGGCCTCAGCAAAGGAAGGAAGGGGAGCTAGCCGTTTAGCTCAGTTCACTGGAGCCTAGGGTGTATCACCAAGGTCAAGGGTTTAGATCCCCATACAAGCCAGCTTCCAAAGAAAAAGAAAAGGAAAGACCAAGATATGCTGAAGGAATAAACTGAAAGAGTAACAATACTAACGAAGCTAAGAGAGTCCACCACTTGCCAGTCTGTGCTGAGAAAACACTTTGGCATACATTCTTATTGAACTCTCATAAAGACTATGAAGTGGATATTTTTACTCACCATTTTAGAGAAGAAGCGAAGCTGAGTTGCAGAGGGATAAGATCACACAACAATGACACTAGGTATACCTGATTCCTTAGCTCACACTTTTAATCACTCTTCACACCACCTGACAAACAGGTTCCTTCACAGGCCTTATTACAAAGCCACCATCTAATGCCCAAAATGATAAATACCAATTAACGAGGACCTTCTAATAGTCTTGCATTATCACCTTAAGACCTGGAGGTAACCAAAGAAGCCGTTATTTATTATCTCCATTTCTGGGACGAAAACTAAGGCTCAGAGAGGGTAAGTCATTGTGCCAAAATTCAAACCCAAGAATGTCTGACTCCAGGTCCACAGCCTTACTAACACTCTACACTGACCCATAGTTAAGAGGCATGGATTTCTTTCATTCATCCATCAAATATTTTTTTGAACTCCCACAATAGGCCAGGCATGTCCTAGTCCCCAGTCTAGTACTGCATAGAGTTCACATTCCACTGGAGGTGACAGTACACAAATACAGATCATGTCATGTGGCGAAACGTGCCAGGAGAACCATTAAAACCAAGTGGATAGAGACGGGAGTCTAATGTAGAAAGTGCAGCAGGAAAAGGCCTGAGGAAGTGATAATGGTCGGATGGACAAGAGGATGCATAGGATTCCTTTTCTGGGTCTGGCCTAGTAGAGAGGCCGACTGGAAGGGACCTTTTGTTCCAAATCTCGTTCTTGACAGTAATCATCTTCTTCTCTCCAGCCAGAAAAGCTAAGAATTTTTTTCCGCACTCTCTCCGAAAAGGAATGAATGGAACGTTTGGGAAAGAAGCCTTCAGGGACCTATTAGTAAGCATAACTGGAGCCACAAAGGCGCGTGGGAGTGGACTGGGCTAAGGTGAGGCTGGACAAGGCAGGACATCACTGTGACGGTGCTGGGTGGCCTGGCATCGAACAGAGGGCAGAAAGGGCAAGGCTTGGCGGCTAAGAAATGGGAGATGGAAAAGGTGTCCCTCAGTCCAACTCTCCCTTGCTCGGCCCCATTTTACCGCAACGGACGCAGCCCTCCTCCCTTGAGCCACCAGCCGTAAGCCCCGCAGCAGCCATCCGCTCCGCCAGCGCGCCTGCGCCCACTCTACCGGCCCGGGAGCGCAGCCTGGGCAGGCGTACGCATGCGCGAGCTGGCCGCAGCAGGTAACCGACTCAAACCGCCCGCGCCTTCCCCGTGCGTCTGCGTCATGGGAGGAGCCTAGACGCCGCGCGCGCTCTCGGGACTTCGGAGCCGCCCCGCCCCTTTTGCCTTCCGGCGGGAAAAGCGCACGCGCACCTCCCCCCCACCATCCCCTCCACGCGCAACTGCCATCGTCGTTCGTCGCCCTCAGCTGTGTCCCGAGACTGGTACGTGGCCCCAGGTGCGCCCTGCCTGTGGGGAGGTTCGCCAGAGTATCCCCGTCAGAGCCCTTCCCGAGA